ACCTGAAACTAGTCCGAGTGGCGGAGGGATACAACCGCGAGGAGGTGATTCTAGTTTTACTCCCAGTGAGAACGACTTCATTGACTATGGTCTCATCATCAAAGGCTCTTCTTTTACTCACCCTGTGTCACACCCTCCACAGCCCGGCCACGTGTCTCAAAATCGCAATCGGCGTTGCAGTAACGTGAACGTGTGCAGTGATTCCAAAAGGCGAACAGCATTAGGTCCATGTCCCTCTTTTGGAAGCCGCTGCTCGTAAGCTTGAAGCGGTGCAGCACAGTCGGCAGTGAACGGTGATCGGTGGGTGGGAGCGGAGCAGAAAGCAGACTGCCTGAAGTAAGTCCAAAAACCTCCAGACAGCTATTTTCAACACAGACTTAATTCAATCAATGTGCCGCGCATGGGATGTGATGCAGGAGTGGGTTGTGTTTCTTGAGTTGAGCTTGGAATCCGCAGGTGTTATTGATTGTTACCATGGTAACATTGATCTTAGGCCTGAGTTAGCCTGGCGGTAAGGTGTCTAATGTTTTCGTCTTGAAATCAGTCTTTGTTTTTGTGAAACAGTCTGACTAACATTAGACTGATCAATGAGCAACAATTAAAACTGGCCTAACACTGCAGACCAGTCTAACATATCTTTGCAAAACTGGCCCCAGATGTTTACCTGAAGTCGGACTCTGTTATATCTAAGCCACAGTCAAAGTCTACCTTTGTGAAACTGGCCCCATGTTCATCACACAATCAGTCAGACTTGACCAAGTGTGACTGCAAATGTTTTCAAATCCAATAAATCACTCCACTCCTTTCCCGTTCTCACTCACACATCAGAACGGTTCAGGTGCTCCGCTCCAGCTCCGCCCCCTCACCTGCTCTGTCTCTACATCCTCTACAGGTTCTCATTCCTGTCCAGAAGCTGAACAACAGACCAAATTAGTGTTTTCATCCAGTCCAGGAAAACACTCTCACCCCTGATCAGAATGATCTTAAACAGTTTACATATAAATCAAAGACTTTCTGAACCCAAATTCTCTTTCCTCTTCCATCTGCCCAAGATTCAACAGTCCATTTGTGCTCTAATACTGACATCTAGTGGCACTTAGACAAACATACCACATGAAATGAAATTTTTCTCAATAAGTAGTAGCCTTTAAAAGTGCAGATATTAATAATGTCAATATATAAATATGTGATTATTATTATTATCATTATTGTTATTAATAATATTAAAGTCAATATTCCTCGCCTCAAGTCATAGGTAGGATGAATGGGGAATTGTTTCTGTCTTGAAATGATTAAAGTGTCAAAGGTCTTAAAGATTCAGCGTGTTAACACGGCATTTTTTAATGTTGTCTTCATACGTGTTAATTTGACGTCTTAACGCGGACGTAAAAGCAGACGCTTTGGACCGATGAACTTTCTGTGCACATCACTCACCTCGCGTTCCGTTATTCTCTCCGGATGTTTCCAGGCAACAAATGCGTCGCAACGCTCTGACACAACTTAACAAGCAAAGCTATAAACTGCTCCGGTGGATGGTGAAGATATAATTAATTCCCATGGAGCGGTTTCAGCGTTGTAAAGGCGTCTCGTCAGTGCACCGTAGAGAGAGCGTGTCTTGCCGCCAGACTCATCCCCTCTCCGTAAGGCTGGATACATGGTGGCCCGATTCTGAAAGACTGAAACCCCCTTTCATCATAATTGTCTCGAATTTTGTAATCGACCCCCATAATGCAGAGTCTTCTACCCCTGTAAATGAGCGCCACTACCACAAGTGTCACTAGCTTGTTCCGTCAAGTGCAGCTTTTTCTCGGGCACCTACCTGAGGGTCTTCATAGCAGATAGAGGGCAACGCTTCCGCGCGATCATCGCCGTTAGCTAGCTCGACATCCTCCGTGGAAATCGATGTAGCTGTTCAAACCCACTCTTCGTCTTTAGCTTTGTGAAAGAGCTACTGATACTGGAGACATTTTTATTGCCGCTTCTTTTTCTTTTTCTCTTTTTTTCTGTCTTTAGGCGGCCCCATTAGGCTTTTGGCTACTGCTAGCTTCCGTTCTTTTGCTAGTTGTGATAGCTTTTCCCACAAACACTTGCTGATACAACCTAACTGATATCAGCCGCGGCTCATCCAACAAGGGCAGATATTCATCCGCTTGAAAACATAGAACTATAAAATAAAATTTTTACAGATTATTTCAGCAATATCATCTTTGCAAAGTTTGTTACAATCTAAGATAGATAACGACCGTTAATGTGGCGTTAATTAACGGTTAATTGAACACCTGTAACTCGGAGTGATACATTTAGTTAAAATTCCCAGTGCTGTTATATTCTCATAGAATGCATCTCGTCCAACCATATTACTTGGTCGGAACTAACTGTTTGTCAACCAGTCGATTCCACCTCTAGTGCCTCAGAAACTCAACAGCAACATGGTGCAAAATATAAAATGCATACCCCCCCCATCCGACCATCACAGAGGGACATTTCTACTAAGTGGCTCAGGGCACCCGGCCAAGGGTGACTGTGACCTAACAAAACACATTTTTGGCCATAACTCACTAATTCATACACTAATTGTGATGCAATTTAACTCAAATATCTAACAGGATAATCAGAAGTTATGACATATTATATCCAAAAGGTCAAAGGTCAACTTCACTGTGACATCATAATGTTCTGCAAAAACATTTCGGGCCATCTTCTTATCCAGTAACTCAGAAAGGAGAGATTGTGACCATATTTCCTGTAACTGGGCTGGATGTTGGAGGAAACAGCCACGAGGAGGGAAATTTAGTTGTATTTGAGTTAGTTTGAAAGTCGACGTTTGTTGTGTTTGAAAATAAATGTCCAACACTGAAACTGACCATCAAGCATGTTGGGAGGAATCCCAATGGACCGAGTTTACTGGTTTTCTCTGTGTGCCTGTCATTCAGGATGCTCAGTTTTTACCCTCTCTCTCTCTCTGTAATTACAATCAAGAAAAACTAGTTTGCACGTGTTTAAAATCAGTACCATTAAAAATTAAATGCGAAACCAGACTACAGTTCTCTCCATCACCACCAGGTGTCAGCTATAACCAGACCAGCAGAGGGACTCATCACTTCTGCACTTACAGAAATATTGTGTTCAAATTGTCAAGTCCAGGAGTAATGAACCCTGCTGCCATCAGGTGACTGTCGGAAATCTCTGAACTAAAACTTGGAGACGTTTTCTTTTTCCTTTTTTTTTATTGACATTCAGCATCAAACAGATATTTCCATACAATGTGTCTCATATCTCAGACTGAATCTATATGACATAAACTTGTGTGTGTCTCAAATCTCAGAATATGTTTATGTATACAGAAAAGATAGAAAGAGATATGAAAGAGAACTTGGAAACATTTTCAACAGCTGAAGTTTAAAAGTGTTTCTGATTCAGTTCAATTAAAATCTGTCAGGTTTAGATATGAACTGTGCTTTATTTTTAAAATCATTTTTAGATTACATTCAACTTTATTGTCCAACTGTCTCAGTGCAAACAGTATGGGAATGCACATACTCTACTTACAGAGATGAATAAATTACAATGAAGGAGGAAGAAGGAAAGTGCTGGTATTAGACATAATATACTTAATAAACACCTGGATATAAATGTGTACAAGGTGCAGGTCAGATGTGTACAGTATAAACATGAACACGCAGAACGGCAGATAAGAAAACATTTTGCTTGTATGGCACTTATCAAAAATCCTCTGCTGTGACTGATATTTTGTTTTGATTTTCACACATAAAGAGTCACATCTCCTCTTACTTCCTGATTGAGAAATCTGGATCAGGCCATGAGCCCCGCCCACCACCTGCTGGCTCCATGGATATGTCTTGTAATATATAAAAACATCATATGTACAAATTAACACTTGATTTTCATGGGGGGAGTCACACAGGGAGGATGGTGGACTGGACTGTGTGTGTGACTCAGATCAGTTTAGACTGCAGAGTCATCACTGCTTCACATACACACAAACACACACACACACACACCGTCCTCTTCAGTCTCATTTGTATAGTTTCTCCATCTGTGGAGAGAAGCAGACAGACAACAGTTAGCAGCTTTAGACATTAACACAACAGTCGTCTTGATCGAGTCACAGTGACTCTCCACAACTGTGTGATTTCTCACAGTCTGACAGCCAAGAATCTGGGCGTCACATTCGATCCTACCCTCTCAGCACGTTAAAGTTGTCATGGAGACCGCCTTCTTTCACCTACGTAACAGAGCTAAGATTCAGTCTTTTATGTCTAAGACTGATGCTGAAATCCTAATTCACGTCTTTGTTCCATCGAGACTTGATTATTGAGTGATTATAGGTTCAGAGCTGCAGCTACAATTTCAACTACACCCAGAAAATTTGACCAGTTTTATCTTCCCTTCACTGGCTTCCTGTCCACATCAGATCAGACTTTAAGGTGCTTTTAATGATGTACAAAGTTCTACATGGACTCTCTCTTCCATACCTGTCTGACCTCCTGAAACCTTATACTCCATCTCTGTCGGCTGCAGAGTCTTTTCCTATCAGAGCCCTCTGACATCAGACTGTCTGACTCCACTGAGACATCTTTGCTCTGATACTGTGTTTAGTACAACACTGCTGAAAGTACCATGGACTGACTCCATCCCTCTACTGACCTCAGAGTCTCCAGTCTACAGTCGGGACTCTCCACAAGATCATACAGATCCTTCACGTCTGAATCCTGCAGGTGGTTTCCTGTCAGGTCCAGGTGTCTCAGATGGGAGGGGTTGGACTTCAGAACCGAGGCCAGAAAATCACAGCTGATCCTTGACAACCTGCAGAAACTCAATCTGTGTGAAGAGTGAAATATGTAGATGAAAATCATTGATGAGAGAGAGAGAGGGGGAAGTGTACAAAGCATAATGAAGGTTCCACATGAAGATGTATATTAACAATAAGACTAAAAATAAAACTAATAACAATAAGAAGATAATACCTACACAATGCAGTTTCTGGAGAAATTGCAGTGGGAGCGCTGCTTCTGCCCAAGCTGAAGCTAAACTGTGTCGCTGGCTGCTAAAGACAGAGCTACAACTAACTCTGTCCAACAGTCGGCCTGTCTGTTTGTGTGTCAGTTAGAATAACAAAGTGAAATTAATTGCCCAATGTTTCAGGACTAACACTGTACTGAAACATATTTCCAGTGAAAACTGTTGAAATGTGTGTAAATCATTGTCTTGTATTTAGTGTTGGAGCAGCATGTAGCGGGACTTTGGCAGAAAAGTCAGTAAAGTGGTTGATAAACACCACAGACATCAGAGGAGTCTCTAATCAGCTGATTTGAACCAGCATGAGAGAAATGGGGCAGATGGATGGTACTCCCGCCCATTTGAAGGGCATAGTTCAAATTGTGCGAGTCTCTGTGCTTTGGTAAACACGTTGTCTGAAAGAAGATAAATTTGCCTACGTTCTGGGAAAAAATGATGTGTGAAGAGTGAAATTGTTGGCTGTGAGGACAAGTCAAACAAAATGTCTTAAAGCAGTTTCAGCCCTTCTCCCACTCTAGCTGTGATGTCATCCACTCCAACCTCCTCCCATAGACTCCCATTATAAACTCAAAAACTGTCAGAAAAAGCATAAAACTTAAACTGCGAATCAAAAACTATAAAAGATATCAAAAAGCCAAATACACATAAGACAGCTGAAAGTCTCGGGACCCGTTTAAAGTTTAAATGACGTCTCTACCTGAAAGTATGCTGAAGTAGTTCAAAAAGTTCTGAGGATTTTAACATTCTCTCCATTCATTTTCATAGGAAAAAAGCTGACAAAATGTTTGTTATTTCAGAAATTAGGAGACATCGCGCTGAGAAAAGTAATGTCCGTAATGTCCTCATTGAGGTGCACGTTTTGAGATTTGAACAGAGTTTTTGCAACAAAGGGTTAGAGTTAGTGGGACTAGTGGCACGTCAAAAAAGTTGGCGGAAGAAAATTTTGTGAACTGACAACATATTGTGGGATTGCTTTTTTTCAGCAATCCCATCAATAAGACTAGAAAGAGAACTTACAATGCTAATATGGCTAATAATTATAATAACAATAGTAATAATAATGTAATGTTATAACAACAATAATAATGACAATTCATAATTGAATACTGTTAAAAGGATGTAAGAACCACTTAAAATATATATGCAATATTTGCATTAATATATGCAAAAGATTACAACAGCTCCAGTCAGTGAACTGACCTCAGAGTCTCCAGTCGACAGTTTGGACTCTCCAGTCCAGCAGACAGAAGCTTCACTCCTGAATCCTGCAGGTTAGGGTTGTGACTCAGGTCCAGGTCTCTCAGGTGGGAGGGGTTGGACTTCAGAGCTGAGGCCACGACTTCACAGTGAGTCTCTAAGAGCCCACAATAATCAAGTCTGTAATTAGAGAAAATATAAAATCTGTTATAATCAAATCAGACAACTTGTAGTAAAAAATACACTCAATGTATATGATGAGAAAACAAGATAATGTTCTGCTAATGATCTGCTCTTCACATCTGTGGTTCAGATCATCTTCTCTTATTGTGTTTGACACGAAACAATAATTCTCACTGTCTCAGACCTGCAGAGCTTGGATGAATGGGAATCTTAGTTTTGCAGATAAAGGAGGGAAAGTTACGTCACGTTTATGCTTCATCATGTGATTTGATTTGACTCTGTCCTCTGACTGAATCCTCCATTCTGCTCTGATATATTCAGACCTGTGTTCTTGTCTGAAGTCGAACATTTCCGGCAGTTCTGATTCAGCAGCCCATGTGTGTTCTTCCTTCATGTTTAGAAATCCTTTTTAGACTTGAAAATAAACCTTTCAAGGCAAGAGAAAGTGTCTAGGGGAGCCAGGCAAGGGGACTCGCATCGACCATTACTTCATAATAGGCCGAATCAGTCGAGTGAAACCCAGTGCCAGGACAACCACCACAGTCCAGTCGAAGCACAACCAAGTACAGACCAGCCAACGAACTGAACGAACCCGTGATGATAGTTAACCCTTCATTCTGAACCTCCTCATTCACATTCACCTTGGAGCCGGATCCTACTATTGTCATGGATTCACAGTTATTAGGTGAAACTCTTCACCGTTCTGGTCGTGAAACTCCACCCCTCATCTAGACGATTATTAAGTTCAATATCCTGAAGCTAGAGGTGATACATGTCAAGCAGAATGCACGTGTCATCATACAACAGACACAAGTCGAACACAGGAGACATGAACCTGACAGTCAAAGGGAAGATGACACAACTGATTTGGCTGATCCTGTGCTGAATATTCAGGTTGAAATCATGAAGGAACTTTTAGTGATAATGAGAGGTATTCAGCGTCTCATGGATAGATCCTCTACCCCTCATTCCTCCTCTAAATATTCATCCAAATGTGAGTCGTCTACTGGGAAGAGAGACCCTGCACGCAACCTACTGGCAATTCCTCAAGTAGAACAGCAAGCTGTTCAATTTCCAAGTGTTAAATCACCACAACACTAGTCATACTCCTGTCCATCATCCTGTTGCTGTTGCCTTTCCAATGCCCATTTCCGTAACTTGTCAATCCTTGATGTTGCAGTTCATTCACCTGGTCTGCCTCGGCAATCCTCTCTTCATGAGACCTGCTAACTTCTAGCTTTTCTTTAGCACTACCAAAGGGCCACCCACAAAGTCCATGTGTTCAGCCTTTGAATCCTCCAGCTGAAAACTCTACTCAGCCTCTTGTTTCTTTCTCCTGTGCTTCTCACCCAAGCCATTGCAGCTCTTGATGAACGTTATGGGCAACCTAGACAACTGGCATTAAAGAAGCTCAGGAAAATCATGGATCTTTTGGCCCTCACAGCATTTACTGTTATATACAAGTATATACTGTGTTTACATGAATTTGACTAAACTACTGATCTGATCTACTGACCAATAACTATAATGATCATGTCTGGACTCACTCAGCCTTCCTGCAGTTCCTCACAGCTGGGACCAGTCTCCGTCGTCCCTCCCCTGATGTGTTGAACTCCTTCAGGTCCAACTCATCCAGAACCTCCTCTGACATCTGCAGCATGTAGGCCAGAGCTGAGCACTGGATGTCAGACAGTTCCTTCTCTGATCTGTTCCTGGACTTCAGGAACTCTTGGATCTCCTGATGAACTGAGTGATCCTTCATCTCCGTCAGACAGTAGAAGAGGTTGATGCTTCGGTCAGGAGAGATAAAATAACTGTTCATCTCCTTCAGGTTGTTGATGGCTCTCTGGATGGTTTCTGGATCGTTCTCTGTCTGACCCAGCAGACCTCCTAAGAGTCTCTGGTTGGACTCCAGAGAGAGGCCATGAAGGAAGCGAACAAACAGGTCCAGGTGACCATTTTTACTTCTGAAGGATTTCTCCATGGCTCTCCTCAGGAAGTCATCCAGGGTTAAATCAACATGTTGTTTCCTCAGGAAGTTCTCCAGGACCTCTGTCTTCCTGTTGGTGTAACAGTGGAACATGTAGACTGCAGCCAGAAACTCCTGAACGCTCAGATGAACAAAGCAGTAGACTGTTTTCTGGAAGATCACACTCTCTCTTCTGAAGATCTCAGTACAAAGTCCTGAGTACACCGAGGCCTCTGTGACATCGAGACCACACTGCTCCAGGTCTTCTTGGTAGAACATGATGTTTCCTTTCTCCAGATGTTCAAACGCCAGCCTCCCCAGCTTCAGAAGAACTTCCCCGTCAGCCTCCGTCAGCTCCTGTGGACTCGTCTCACGTCCCTCATGGTACTTGTTGTTCTTCCTCTGTGTCTGAACCAGCAGGAAGTGTGAGAACAGGTCAGTCAGGGTCTGGGGCAGCTCTCCTCTCTGGTCTGTGGTCAACATGTGCTCCAGAACTGTAGCAGTGATCCAGCAGAAGACTGGGACTTGACACATGATGTGGAGGCTCCTGGACGTCTTGATGTGTGAGATGATTCTGCTGGACAGCTCTTCATCACTGGATCTCCTCCTGAAGTACTCCTCCTTCTGGGCGTCAGTGAAGCCTCGTACTTCTGTTACCCTGTCCACACATGTAGGAGGGATCTGATTGGCCGCCGCAGGTCTGGAAGTTATCCAGACGAGAGCCGAGGGAAGCAGATTCCCCCTGATGAGGTTTGTCAGCAGCTCGTTGACTGATGACTCCTGTGTGACATCAGACACAACCTCCCTGTTGTTGAAATCCAGTGACAGTCTGCTTTCATCCAGGCCGTCAAAGATGAACAGAACTTTACAGACAGCGAGCTGCTCTGCTGTGACCTTCTGTAATGTTGGATGGAAAACATGGAGCAGCCTGAGAAGACTGTACTGCTGATCTCTGATCAGGTTCAGCTCCCTGAACGAAAGCAGAACCAGCAGACTGACATCTTGGTTCTCCAAGCCCTCTGCCCAGTCCAGAGAGAACTTCTGCACTGAGAAGGTTTTTCCAACGCCAGCGACGCCGTTGGTCAGAACCACTCTGATGGGTCTCTGCTGGTCAGGTAAGACTTTAAAGATGTCGTGGCACCTGATTGGAGCGTCATGGAGGGTCTCCATCTTGGAAGTTGTCTCCAGCTGCCTCACCTCATGTTGGGTATTAACCTCTTCACTCTGTCCCTCTGTGATGTGGAGCTCAGTGTAGATCCTGTTGAGGAGGGTTCCACTTCCTGTTCCATCAGTTCCTTCAGTCACATGTTCACATCTGCTCCTCAGACTGATCTTATGTTGATGTAAAACCTCCTGCAGACCACTATCTGCTGAAAGAGAAGAGACAACGTCAGACTGAAGAAAGACAATCTGAGAATCTGATGATTATTTTCATCAGCTGCAGAAAAACTAAAGACAAACAGAGAAAAGGTTTTAATGTTGTGGTATTTATAATCATCTTAAAGGTCGATGCTGTGTGATGTAACAAATGACTCTGTATAAAACAACAGGTCCTGGTCTCAGAATGATGACATCATCATACAGATGTTCAGTCTCACTTTGTTCAGTGCTGGTCTGACTGGCTGTCTGCAGTCCAGGTCTTGTTCTGGGTCTTTGTCCACACTGGGGACAGGAGGAGTCTCCTGAAGAACCAGACTGGTCCCAGTATGAGGTGAAGCACTGTCTGCAGAACCAGTGTCCACAGCTGGTAGAGACTGGATCCTTCAGGACGTCCTGACACAGAGCACAGCTGGACAGCTGCTCCTCCACAGAGACACCTCTCCTCTTCCTGTAAAGACATTTCTTTATCACTAACATGTCACAGTCACAGGTCAACATCTGTGTTGTGATTGGTTGCCAACCTCAAGCAGGCAGGTCTTGAAGTGATGGCTCAGAATATCTGCAGTGGAATTGTCATAGGTTCTGATCCACAGTCAGAGTATTAACTACAGTGGATTTAGGTTGGTGTGTTCCCACTGAACAGGCAGGAGGCACAGAAGCTGAGTGATGTACTGACGTAGACAGGGACAGCAGCAAAAATGAAGTTTAGTCACCGAAAAAATGCCCACCTAAAAAACCAATATTATTTTAAGTGTTGGTTTTAATTTGAATATTTTTCACCACTTTATCTTGCCCTCAAACAGACCTTTCTTTTGGCACCACATTCTCTCAGCTGTTGAATCCCGGTCCCACGTACAATTGCACTCATGCCGTGAACTTCATGGTTAATCAGGTGGGTGTTTTTTAAGTTGCTAAAATGCATTTTTTCTGCTGTCATCATCCACAGCAGTACATGGCTCCTGGCTGCTTCAGGTACAGGTACATACACTGACTGTTGGAAAGGCAGGAAACTGTTGCACAGACGCCCTCTTGTGGCAAAGGTGAGCAGTTGCATAATTAAGCTCATGGAGCGTGTAAATCGGTGCGGTAAGAGGGATTTCTTACTGGAAAGACAATCTGGCATCTAAGTGGTGTGAGTTGTGTGCGTCTCTGACAAACTGATTAAACCAGATGTTTCTGACTGAGCGGATGGTTCTACAGCCTTTCGCTGCCTGTTGGTGTTTGTTTGTATTGTTGTACAGAGGCTAAGCTGGTGTACTGACCATGTGGCTTGCTTTTATGCTGCCAGTTCGAGTAGAGGTGTTAGGTTGAAATAATGTTGGTATTCTGTGTAATATGGAAAGTTGTTAGTGTGTAATTTATTCCTTCTTCCATGTATACAATTGGGTTATCAGGACTTTACTGTTTCTTCTGTTAGTTATTGATTAAGTATATGTGCAATGGCGACCACATGCTAGTAATTTTCATTTGTATTCTGAGTAACAAGCAGTGTCATTTGATTATATGTGGTTTGAATTTTTCTAATATTTGTCTTCCTTATATTTGTTCTTGCCTTAGACCGCACAGTGTTCACCTCTCACCTGTAAGAGTGAATGGTTGCAGAAATGTACTGTTGTGTTACAAACCAAGTCAGTAAAGAGTTAACTGAATCTGAGTGTCCTCCGTGTTCTGACGACACCCCAAGGCGAACGCCACTCTATCTACCATCACCTATGAAGTCCTAAGTAGTCACCGATCCAACACTGACTATGACAACCCCACTTCAGATGATAAATAAGTAATATGGACCGTCCTGAGGGCAGACACCAGAGTAGAAGACACAGAGAAAAAGTAGAGGAAGACGAGCGGAGAGCGGCAATCTGCTGCTTGTTGAGACCTTGATGGACAATGAATGAAAAGTGTTTTGGTTTCTGTTTGTGTTTATTTGTTAACCTACAACTGAAGCAAACGCTGAGCTCAGTGCTCGATTGGTAACACATCAAAAACAGCTCCTTCGATGTGAAGACACTTTGGATTCATGTCCTTATTACTTTGTCTCCCAATGGTCTTAATGATCCGTTCTTGTAAACCTCTCCTCCTGAAAGCCGATCTCTTTGACTGTCAGACTTTCACTGATTTATTTAGTGGTTAGTTAGAATCAGATTCAACAGATGTGGAGTGACTTCAGGCTGTAGAGTACCTTTATAAAGTTGCATTTCTTCCTCCTTCACAATAGTGGGGTCAAATTAAATTATGACTATGAACCTAATTGACTGTTTCTTTTAGTCTATTGACTTATGTGTAGTTTTATATTTTTATGCCATTATGCCATCCATCCATCTATCCAACTTCTTTCGCTTATCCCAAGTTGGGTCGTGGGGGCAGCAGGTCAAGCAAATGTTTTCCAGCTCCTCCTGGGGAATCCTGAGGTTTTTCCAGGCCAGATGAGATATATGATCTTTCCAGCGTGTTCTGGGTCTCCTACCAGTTGGAATATAATAATATACAGTATAATATAAATAATCATTAAAGTAAATCATTAAAGTGTCTCCTCCAACATGGAGACACTGTGTTTCTTCTCTGTCCTTCTGTTCACTCACAGGTCTACAGACTGGGGGAGCGTTCAGAGCTGTTCATATGAAATCAGCTGATTGTGGGCGTGTCTGATTCCACCTATGGAAACTGGAGAGGTGGCGTTCAGGCTCGTGTTCGTGCACCAACTCTCAGGTTGATGAAACAGTAACATGAGAACGCTCTGCTTTATAAATCTATTTATTATATCTATGTTTATGTTTCCTTCAAATATTTCTGTAACTGAATCATCTTCAGCTCAGTTTAAAGTAGAAACAGTCTCTTACTGTGAGTCTGTGGGTCCAGGTTCATCACTGAAGACTGGAGGTTCTTCTTTAGACCAATCACTCCTCACAGATGGACAGCTGGGTCCTGGAGACTCTGCTCTCAGTCTGTGGTTCTGACCTCTGCAAACACAAACATGTTTTTAATCATATCACATCGATCACTGATCAATTCTCTGATGACAGATTTAGGGCTCCCCGAAAAATTATTTTGACCGTCCCAAAATTAATGTAAACCGTCCCAAAACCAAAATATTGTTTCTTTACTTTGTTAATATCAGACACACACAAAATTTTATTAGTGTGTGTTTTTCTTAATATTCAAGGATAGAGTGGGAATAAAAATCAGCCTTGGACTTTTAACTTGGACTGTCCTCTCAGAATCCATCTGGAGACACCACCACATGTGGCCTGTGCCACACTTACAAGAATCAAGTAGTAAACAGAGGATATATTAATTACGATAATTTGTAAACTATACATGAAATAGAACTGGCCCATTGAACTGTAGTTCTTTTTTCACTTTGCTCTGTGTAAGTTAGCAGAGATTATAGTTCATATCATATATATATATATAAATAGTTCAATATGGAAAGAAAAAAGTCCGAATATTCTTTGTTTGGATATTTTCTCAGGAAACCAGCGACCTCAGCAGCCAGTATGAATACACTGAAGTTATTATCTGCGTCACTACAGCAGCTGTAACAGGAAGTGAGTGTGACTGCAGCAGCTCTGCACTAAACACTGTTAGAGTTTAAAGGTCTCTTACTTAGTGTCTGAGGGTCCAGGTCCATTATTGAAGTATGGAGGTTCTTCTTTAGACCAATCACTCCTCATAGACGGACAGATGGGTCCTGGAGACTCTGCTCTGTCCTCATCACAAACACTCATCTTCAGGACTTCAGTCAGTCTGACAGAGAAACCAGTAAAACTGACTGTGAGATAAAACACAAGAGTCAAGACAATATGTTGAAGACACACACAAAAATACCAGGAAACACACACACACACACACACACACACACACACACACACACACACACGCACACACACACGCAACACACATCACACACACGCAGCTTCTTATTTGGTCTTTTCCTCTCAGTGTCTTCATGTGGACAGAAGTTCACTTTGACTCTTCTTCTCTCCTCAGAGAGAAACTGACTCAGAAACTTTGACAGTAAAAATAATAATAATTAATTTAATTTAATTGATAACAACTTGACTCACAGTAGTGACACTGGGTGTTAGTTGATGGATCCGGATCAATAATGTTCATAGGATTTTACATGGAGCTACTTTAGTATTGTAAGAAGTGGGGGAAGTCCATAGTGGTGGAAAGTCATCAAGTACATTTACTCAAGTACTGTTCACTTGAATATTTCTTTATGTTACTTTATACTTTTACATTTCAACATCTCAAGGCAGATTTGGCTTTTTCCTTTAACAGTAACAGATTATTGATACAAAAGATAAAGCTGATAAATTATGACGTATTAATAAATTAAGCTGCTCAAAGTTAGCTCCGCCTTCACCAGCTGTCACATTAATGCATTTTCTTTAAATAATTATAACAACAACATTATTTAGAAACGAGACATCCTGCATAATGAATACTTTCAGTACATTTTGGTGCAAATACTTTTTGAATGTAAGACTTTTAAGTGTAACAGTATTTCTACACTGTGACATCGTTACTTCTATCTGAGTACTCCTGTTTAGATCCAGGCTCCGCCTCCCCGGGACAGAAGTCACACAGCTTTATTTCACTCATTAGCTGTACATTATTACGGTAAAACTAAAACTCTCCTCTGTGATATTTAACCTTCACTCATCGTTTCAGCGTTTAACTTTAATCAACAGTTACAAGAAACTCTTCAGAAATATTTTGCTACCGCTCAACAACACTGACCCATGACACAACGTCACCAACAAACAGTCAGTAGGAGTCACATCAGCAGAAAACAGCAGTGATGGTAAAAACAGTCTGGTGTCATTAAGGATCATTCTGCTGTTCTTCTACATCTCTCTCATCAGCTTCAGGAAAAATATGCAGGAGAAATAAGTCAAACCAGCAGCCTCAGTATGAATACACTGAAGTTATTATCTGCGCCACAACAAGCAGCTGTAACAGGAAGTGAGTGCGACTGCAGCAGCTCTGCACTAAACACTGTTACAGAGAGTTTAAAGGTCTCTTACTTAGTGTCTGCAACACTGACTGTGAGAAAGACGCCACACAAGAGTCAGGACAATCTGTTCAAGAGAAACACACCGAAAATTACAGGAAAACAACACACACACACCCACACACACACACACACGCAAACTTCTTATTTGGTCTTTTCCTCTCAGTGTCTTCATGTGGACAGAAGTTCACTCTGACTCTTCTTCTCTCCTCAGAGAGAAACTGACTCAGAAACTTTGACAGTAAAATAATAATAATGTTGTTTTAACACTCACCAGCCTCAGTCGACAGTTTCCTGCTGCTGCCCTTTTAAAAATGGCGTCTGAACAACAGAGACATCAGCTGAATACTTTCACTTTTGACTCCTCCTCCCCTCTGCAAGAGATCACATGTCTTTGTTTACATCTGTGTGGTGTGTGTTGTGTGTGTGTGTGTTGTTGTGTGTGTGTGTGTGTGTGTGTGTGTGTGTGTGTGTGTGTGTGTGTGTTGTTTACCAGTTACATGAATTTCCCCTGGGGGATAAATAAAGTATCTTTTCATCAAGTTGTTTAAATTAGTTTTAATTTCATGAGTCTGTCTGTTAAAATTATGACAGTTCTTTTAACTAAATCTAACTGTTTTATAGATTTACTAAATAATACACTATAAATGTTTATCATGACAGACAGACATAAACAATAATAATGGATGTATACAGAGAAATTAATGGTCCCTTTGGTGTTTGACACTGATCTCTAAAAACAGGCCAATGAATGAATCTATCTATCTATCTATCTATCTATCTATCTATCTATCTATCTGTTTATCTGTTTATCTATCTATCTATCTATCTATCTATTGATCTATCTATCTATCTATCTGCTCGTGGATACGATATCTCAGTAACACAAGTGTCCACCAGGACTCAAGGATGAACTGAGTAGACTTTGGTGGTCAAAGGTCAAAGGTCAAGATGACGTTGACGTCATAAAACACTCTGTAGTCATTACTCCTTCACACAAATGGTTAATATCTTATATGACTCTGGATAAACAGGGACCTGAAACTAGTCCGAGTGGCGGAGGGATACAACCGCGAGGAGGTGATTCTAGTTTTACTCCCAGTGAGAACGACTTCATTGACTATGGTCTCATCATTGTTGGAAAAATTATGATACTTTATGACTAGATAAACATAATTATCCTAAAGAAGAACTGTACACATCCTGAAGTGAACTTTTCATATTATAAAGTTGTGTTTGTTTTCAGGACAGAAATCATCAGAGAGGAGTGGAGTGACCTTGGCTGCTCTTCCCAGCTACTGCACCCACACATTAGCTATGATAAGGCATGAATCAAGTCTCTATTGAGTGACCCTCATATCAGCAAGGATGTGAGGTCACTCTCATATGTTCTGTGTATAAATCCTGTGTGAATTTTGTATTCCTTGAACATTTGCACTGCGAGCTCTTTGTGTGTAACTTGTTCCCTTGCTGCAGGAATAAATATCCTGCTCTTGTGAATTTTCAGATGGTGTTCCTGAGTTTATTTGATCATTTTCCTGACAACTTGGTCCTTCGAGCCGGATCTCAACAACCTCTCCTACTGTCCAGAACAGGACCTGAACCGTGCACGGGGGAGTCTGGGACTCCTCAACTAAAAAGTCCTCCAGCATAGAAATTTGCTGTTAAAAAGAAGCCAGGATCTACTGGACTGTGGGAAGGTGACGAGATCCACAAACAGAGAGAAACCAGGACGTCTGAATCATAAGGTAGGAGAGTCAAGTAATGACTATAACATAGTTAAAATTGTGTTGTGAAAAGGGTCCGGGACCCTATTAGTCCATAGTCTGTGTGAGAAGACTACAGGAATAAAATACTCCGTGCTCACGTTAAAATTGTGAGAGAAGGCCTAAAATAGTTCAGGGAACTATGAAACAGTAAACTGGGTTTACTAATAATAAAATAAATAAATATATATTAAAGTAAAAAAATAAAAAAAAATAAAAAGTTGCAACAGGGAATTGATAGAATATTTTCTGAGTGAGGTGCCTTGATGAGTAACAGAGAGGGAAACCTCACGGTGATAACTGAAGCAGTACTCATCAAACAGGACCAGTTGCTCAGGTGAACTCCAGACAAACTGGTTGGCCACAGATAAGAAAATTGAATTGCAGTAGTTGCTGCTTTAAAGAAAACAATGGTTCAATCACTGGAGATTAACGTTCACAAGGGACCAGGATCACATAAAATTCTTTAAAAAATGGGAAAAGAAATACGAGTTTTCAAGAAAACTAGTAACAAGTGACTGTCAAGAGTTAGTGAAGAGAATAGAAGAAAAGACAAAGGGGAAGCCTACAAAGAGTAAAAGGAGTCTTATGGGTCTTATACAAGCAAGAAACTGGTTAGCAGCAGCCAGGAAAAGGCAAGAAGGAATAAAAAAGGGTAAAGAAGGTAAAAAGACTGAGACAAAGACAGAGACAAAGACTGTAAAGTAACGGCTTTGACTGACAGAGAAGATGACAATGTGGTAGTGAGAAGCCACAGAACAGACATTCCTCTGGGACCAATGCCAGGTCCTCCACCCGACCCAGACCATAGGCAGACAGGATCTGCAGGATACTCTGACTTCAGACAGAACAGACAAGTCCAACAGCTCCTCCACCACCGGCAGCCGCACCCACAGTTACCACAGTAATGCAGAGAGTGGATGAAGGGAGAGATCTGAGATCAGGAAAAGCAGGGTGAGTCTGGAAAATTATAAACCAAAATAAAAGTAATGAAACACATGATAGATCATCGTCCTGGACGCTTGACTAGTGTTCTAGAACATTGTAAACATGTGGAAAGCCATTTTAAAAATAAGAAAAAGCAAAAAAGGGCGAGCCCTCAATAATGCGTCATAAAATTCAAACCGGTCGTTGTCATGAACGAGGAAACTAGTTATTGCGACCAAAACCCTTTTATATCAGGCTGTTAACATATTTATTTCTGCTGTAAAGTTGGACATTTTAACATGGGAGTCTATGGTTTTCACAAATACAGTTTTACTGAATATGCTCAAATATGTCTAATATTCATGAATTTCCTTTGGGAATAAATGAAGTATCTATCTATCTATCTATCTATCTATCTATCTATCTATCCATCTATCTATCTATCTATCCATCTATCCATCTATCCATCTATCTATCTATCTATCTATCTATCTATCTATCTATCTAATCGTTCGTGTTATCCTGTGACTGCTTCTGCTCTGATAATGTTCCATTTCGTTTTCTCACGTTCTTCTTTTTATGTTGTTTTTTGACTTAACTTCATTTCCCATGAGCAGTAGCGGCATCTGTCTGTCACATGACTCACAGGAACGTCACACGTAGACATGGCTGCTACTGTTTCCAGCGAAGATTTCACCAACTTACAGCTTCTTTTAAAGGTACTGATCATGTATGTATTGTAGATGTATTATAGATGTATCGATCCGTGATATCTGGTGTTTTAAAACCTCAGCTTATAAAGTGAAACCGTATCTTAATTATTTTCCTGTTTTCTAAACACATCGCTGAATATCCCACAGGAGTTTACATTAGCCTGCTAGCATGTTAGTTTGCAACTCTGCTAGTAGCCTGTTAGTCTGTTCATCTGTTACTCTGTTATTAGTCTGTTAGCCTGTTATTAGCCTGTTACTCTGTCACTCTGTTAGTCTGCTAGCTTGTTATTAGTCTGTTGGTCTGTTGTTAGTCTGTTAGTTTGCTAGTCTGCTAGCTTGTTATTAGTCTGTTAGCCTGTTGGTCTGTTATTACTCTGTTAGCCTGTTGGTCTGTTATTAGTCTGTTAGCCTGTTGGTCTGTTATTACTCTGTTAGCCTGTTGGTCTGTTATTACTCTGTTAGCCTGTTGGTCTGTTATTACTCTGTTAGCCTGTTGGTCTGTTATTACTCTGTTAGCCTGTTGGTCTGTTATTACTCTGTTAGCCTGTTGGTCTGTTATTAGTCTGTTAGCCTGTTGGTCTGTTGTTAGTCTGTTAGCCTGTTGGTCTGTTGTTAGTCTGTTAGTCTGCTAGCTTGTTATTAGTCTGTTAGCCTGTTATTAGCCTGTTGCTCTGTCACTCTGTTAGCCTGTCTGTTAGCCACTTACTAGTTAGTCAGTCAGTCACTTTATTTTTGAACCATGAGCTACCAAGTTAGTAACTTAACTGCTTCCATGTTTGTGGTTGTAGTGGTATTCTGCCTCCCCTGCTCTTCTAAGAAATGTCATGACGCTCCTCATTCAGTAAAAAGAAAAAAATACAAACCCTTGTCATCGTTGAACAGGACCTAAGAACTGTGGTACTGGACAAATGGCTGAAATGATTCATCAGTTATGAAAAATATCATGAGTTTTGATCCTTTTGTGTTGTAGTTGACCCTGAGCTGACTCTGAGCCGGTTGTGTTTCCTCAGGCTCCGTCTAAAGATGCAGTGAGAGACGTTTGTGTTCAGAGTCACAGAGCTCCGAGTCGCCGGCTCGCCGAGACCACAGCAGCGTCACTCAGCGTCCCAGCAGCCCAGGCTGCACAGGTAACAGACACGTCTCCAGTATCCCTGTGGAACATGTGGGTGAGAGATGTGTCAAGATGTGAGCTCAAAAAGTCTTATTTTCTAAAAACAAGGGGGAACAGAGGTTTTGTATTAACACTGTTTTCATAAACAGTCCCATCCTTCCCACCTTGGATGTACATTAGTCCAAGCACTAGAATAAAATGCAGAGATGTTGGACTACAGAACAAGCAGAACAACCAGAGTTTCCAGTTTGAAGGTGACCAGTTTGTCTCCCTCCAGCTGGTCCAGTCTCTCCACGTCCTGTCTCATCACGTCCTCTTCTACAACCTCAGCTCTCCAGAGCAGATCCTCGCCCTCTTCCCCGACTCCTTCCACTCCAGTCTGAAGAACCTGATCACCAAGATCCTGCTGGAGAACAGGTAGGTCCCCTAAAACTCACAATGAACGCTGTCAGTCCGTTTCCCTCACAGCATGACACTGACATCCAGAAGGTTTCCACCAAGTCTCAAAACACAGTAAGACATCCCCCAAATAATAAAACACAGCAGATGATTTCTTTTTCTCTGGAAGCTGTGGATAAAAATGAAACAACATAATGACAACATAAAACCATTTTCCTCAGCAGATGCATGCTGGGATAGGCTGCAGACCCTCCACTACCCTGAACAGAACTAGTTGTATAACACCCTTATACAAAATGAATGAATGAAATCTGACAAAACCTAATCTGTCAGAAATATTCTTTGTTGATTTTATCAATTACGACAAGCTACAGCCTGTGATGACATCACTTCCTCTGTGTTTCAGTCCAACATGGAGGACAGAAGCTGTCGGTGATCAGAGTGAGTAGAGTTCAGATTCCTTCATTATCTACTGCTGTGTGTGTGTAAGGCTCTAAACTGTGTGTGTGTGTGTGTGTGTGTGTGTGTGGGTGTGTGTGAGTGTGTGTGTGTGTGTGTGTGGGTGTGTGTGAGTGTGTGTGTGTGTGTGTGTGTGTGTGTGTGTAGTCTCTCTGCCTCAGTTGAAGGAGCTGGACTGGAGAGTGGACATGGTGACCGGTTCGGACTCAGTCAGTCGTATGTCGGTCCCGACCTGCCTGGTCCAACTCAAGGTGAGTCTGAACCTGAACCAAGTTTCAGTTCTGTCACTTGAACACAACAGCTTTAAGACATCATCAGGTGTGTCTGTCACATGATCTGTTAAAATCTCACGTGTGTGACGTGTTGATTTCAGATGGAGGATCCGTGTCAGTCGGCAGGCGGTGAGTCGGTTTCCACGGTGACGGTGGAGCTGAGCCGGGAGTCTCTGGACACCATACTGGACGGACTGGGACGCATCAGAGACCAGCTGTCTGTGGTCGCTGGGAAATAAACCTGAACATTTGTCTTTTTTTACAAACTGATACTGATGAAGACGGAACTTCCTGTCGCTGATCTTCAGGCTTCACCATCATCAGAAAGTTTCTCCTGCCAGGCTGAAGGAAAGCTGGTTTATCATTTATTAACCCTGAACTCACGAGTTAATTTATCGTTAATTAATCAGTTCATGATTAATCAGTTCATGTTAACTCATTTCACTTTTAGTAAAAACGCAAAACATTTTGTGCCTAATGCTTAAAAACTGCAAAAATATTACTTTGCAATTCTGTCATTATTTACTTTTTTTGTTCTGAATGTCCGACATCTTTTATTATTTTGACATTTTGTATATTAAATAATTAATCTAAAGAATAATTAAAGGTCTGAGGAGGAAGAAAAGACAACAAGTGTTTCAATTAAAACTCCAGATATTTGTTAAATTTATTCCTTTTTCACATGTGCTGATATGAAAATAAATTTCTCTTCAAAAGACTCAGAGTCAGAATCAAGAGTTGTGACATGTAGCGTTCAGGAAGTCTTCAGACCCCCTCACCGTTTTCATGCTAAAATCATTTCAATTCATTTTTTCTCTCCTCAATCTAAACTCGTCAACACAAAGTGGAAACTGAATTTTACTGATTTTTGAAAATGTATTATAAAGTAAAAACTGAAAAATCACATTGACAGAAGTATTCGGACACTTTAGGTTTGTCTGGATCATCTCTGAGATGAGTCCACCTGTGGTAAACTCACTGGACTCACACCCGTCTACATCAGGTCTGTGAGGAGGGTCTTGGTTAGAGAGGAGACCAAGAAGCTGAAGGTCGCACTGACTGAGCTGCTGAGATCACATCTGTGTCTTTACAGATGAATGTCGGGACGAACAGGATGTTGTGTCGTCTCGAGTCGCCATACGAGTCCTGGGTTAGTAAAAGACTACGGGACAGTCGGTGTCCTCAGGGTGGGGGTAGGACTGTGATGCCGTCCATGTCCAGCTCCACTGAGTGAACACTGAAGTCTCCCAGACCCTGAAACAAACAGTTTCCATGTTGGTAACTAACGAGTCAGAATGAGGCACTTTGTGTTTTTGTCTTCAGTTGGTTGATTTAAAAAAAGAATAAAACTCTGATTTAACATCTACTTTAGTTTGAAGTAGAACAGGAGACATTAGTAACTAGTTGATGGTTGTATTATTATTATTATTATTATTAAAATCATAAAGATTTAACGAGCTGCTTCTGGTTCACTGAGAATTCAAAGCACTAATAAAGTAACGAGATTCGTACCGGCGTGTTGTTGAGGACCTGCAGCACCGCCTGCCGCTGCCGAGGCTCCCGGGTCAGCAGGTAGAGGAAGCCCCCCCCTCCGGCCCCGGCCAGGCTCTGACCCAGGACCAGCGGCCTCAGAGCCTCCATCATGGTTCTGACGGAGGCCGGTTCACAGCCGGGAGCCATCAGCTTCTTCTGCTGCCACGAGCGGTCCAGACACCGACCCAGTCTGGACAGAGAGCCTGGGCACAGGGAGGGAGGTTTGGTGAAAGGGCTGCTGGGAAATGTAGGACATGACGAACTGAAACAGAGAGTCAGAGTCGGTTCGACCGGAGGAGGGTTAAATTTAAAAATGACTGTTGAGGTGTGAAAATCTGTCTGTGGAGTATCAGGTGTGATTCATTCACATGGATCTGGTTTAATAACCTGGTTCAGTTCAACTCTGTAGACATACTGTAGTAATATAAACATTTACATGAATATTAATATATCCATCAATAGACTGGACCCGGCGACAGTCAGAGCGGCAGCCATTTTGTTTTCAGCTCATTGGTCCATCTGTCCCGTTCTCGTGGACACGATCTCTCAGGAACACCCTGAAGGAACTTCTTCACATTTTGCACAAACAGTCACTAGGACTCAAAGGATGAACTAATTAGATTTTGGTGGCTAAAGGTCAAAGGTCAAGGTCAGGGTGACCTCACAAAACACTTTTTTTTAAGTCATAACTCAAGACTTCACAGCAATTATGACAAAGTTTCACACAAATGGTTCATATTTTCCCCGACTCTGGGGATGGAACCTGGAAGTAGTCTGGGTGGCGGAGGAGGAGATTCCAGCTGTTAAAAGCTCCACATCATAAAAATAATCCTGTTACACGCAGCTGAGCGTCTGAGTGAAACCTGGAGGCTGTAATTAAAAACGTTACATCCACATTCATCACGAGGATCTAATGATCAATAAAAGTCTGGTGAGTGTTTTCATTTGGTCGAACCACCACAGAAGAAGAGAAGGGGGGCGGGTCTTTGAATTGAGTGAGACACATGAGCTCCACTGAGAACTACAAAAACTTGAAAAACGAATAAATTATTCTTTATTTTGCAGCATTTCCAGAGTTTACAGGAGTATGTTATTATATATGTGTGTTTTTACTATTGCTACGTAGCTAACGTTAGCATTCACAGCTGTGTTGGAACAGACTGTAGTGGAGTTTAATGGCTGAAGTTCTAACCTCCATGTTTTTATGAAAGATAAAGTGAAGCTGTGTGTCTGTTGTGTGTTGACCTGGTCCACAGTGTTGATCTGTGTGCAGCTGATTCTCCTGTATGAACGTTGTGGTGTTGAACGTCTCACCCTCTGAACACGCTCTGGAACATTCCTCTGAGTTCGCCACCAGCTGCTGGGCGTTCTGGACCATCGAGGGCAGACGGCTGTACCAGCTCCGAACCACATCCTGCACACAGAGCGCCGCCGCCGCCATCATCATCATCATCATCATCATCATCATCATCATCATCATCATCATCATCAGGTTTAGGACTTATAAAATGTTAATTAGAATATCATCAAATCATCCATTTAAACAAGCGTCTTCTTCATGACCTGTTATTAGACGGTTTGGTCTCCATGGAAACACAGACAGACAGACTGAAACTTACCTGCAGCAGGTTTCGAGCCAGACGGGTTTTTCCGGTGTAGACCAGCAGGAGGTGCTGCTCCAGAGACACCAGGAAGTCCTCTGGAGGGCTGAGACGTTCCACTTCTACCTGCAGGGGCAGAGACGCTCTGGAACGACCCACCTTAACTCCGCCCACCAGACCTCCCACCTGGTCCTGCCAGCCTCCACCTGGAGAGGAGAAGAAGAAGAAGACGAGAGGCAGCACACTGGCTTCAGTTCCTCATGAGGAAGTTAAAATCAGTCTCAGATCCTTCAGGTTTTCAGAGACGCAGGTTCAGACCGACCTGTGGTGAGAATCTGCTCCAGGTACAGGATGGCGTGGATGAGGGAGTCTGTGTTGTAGGTTCGTCCGGTACATCTGTAGACTGCAGCCAACAGCGCCCCCGCCAGGATACTGCTGGTCCCTGCAGGACAAGGTCACAAGTTAACAGGTCTGGTAGTTAACAGGTTTGTTTTCTATATTTTCACAATAAAACTCCAGTGTTTTGGTCATGTGTTGTTGTTTCTCACCCAGTCCAGATCCGGTGGGCAGCACTGACCAGCTGTGGAGCTCCACCCCTCCCCCCCACCTCTGCATCAGCTGATGCCCCAGAGAATGCTGGGAGGAGAGGGAAACCAGGCCGCTGCACACACACACCGCCTTCAGCAGAGCTCCTGTACACACACACACACACACACACACACACACACACACACACACAGCAGGTGGAACAGGTGTGGGGGGTGGAGCTATGAGGGAAAACAACTGTTCCAGAATAATTTACGGTATGTGACATAATAACAGGAAGTGATAAGACTTTTGCTTTGAAGAAAAAGTAAACAGTAAACAGTCCATCTCCTACCAGGTGCGTGCGGCTGACAGTAGTCCCTCAGGTCATCCAGGCTGTTGCACACTGTCTCCATGGAAACCCCACTCTCCCGCCCTCCGGCGTAGCTGACCAGCAGGAGGCGGGGCTCTGCGATGCGACGGGCTCTGGCACCGATGGGACGCTTCCCATCGACCCTCACGGCGGCGTTGGTCACAGAGCCGCCGTGCTCAAAGGCGATGGGAGGTGTGTCACTCCACCCGCCTGAAACACACGGAGGAGGCTGTTCAACGTGTCAGTGAAACATGATTTCTCCAACCTCTGCAACCATACATGAATGCACCACTTTGTTCCCAGTCTTTATGCTAAGCTAAACTAGCTGTTCCCCATTCCTAGTCTTTAACCTAAGCTAAGCTAACTCTCCCTCTCACAAAACTTCTAGCTTTGCCATTATCTGATTCTTCTCGATCACGCCTCTTCAAAACTGATTAAACTGTTTTTTTATATTATTTATTTTCTGTTAATTTCAGTTTTTTCTAAATTGAACTAGGAACATTTTCAGTTTTGACACTTTTGAATTTTAATATTTTGTCAAATTTGTCACGATTAACTAACTGAATATTTTGTTTTGTTTTGGACTCTTGTCGTCTGTGATATTGTGACTGTTTTTCTAACATCCACTGGACTCACCTGCCAGGTCCAGTCTGGCCGGACACTCCACTTCCTGCCACTCCTCGAGGGGCGGAACTTCACCCTGACCAATGGAGATGAACCTCTGTGATGACATCACAGCCTGTCGCAGCAGCACCTGTCCGGCGCCCTCGTAGTGCCTCGCCGCCCGCACCAGCAGGTCTGGCCTGTGGGGGGGGCGGTCACAGGAAACACAGCTCATTATCTGACGACCAATAGGAAAACACTGAATCAAACCCAGAGAGTGACACTCACCTGCTGAGCCAATCAACTCTCTGCATTGACAGGGCCTGGACTCCGCCCCTCAAGTTACCCTCCTCCAACAGGAGGTAGGCGGAGCTCCAGGCTTCGTTAGCCGCAGGTCCACTCCTCAGACCTCCCCTCCCCCCCGCCATACACACCAGCACATCAGAGATACACGAGAGACAGCGCGCAGCCACGTCCAGCTCTGCACCTGGCTCCGCCCCCTGCTCCCTGCTCCCTGCTGCAACTGAAAAAAGAGCCAACATATTCATCTGTGATGTTTACAGCTGCTGGTCACAGGCTGTAAATAAAGATGGACGTCACCCACAGGTTTCTGAAGAGCGGTTTTGAAACTCAGCTGCACCATCGCCATCTTGGCAGTGTCTGACTCCGCCCCTAACTCCCTGCTAATCCAAAAATGGTCAAAGAGGAGGGGCCTGTGTGGAGCTGAGACTTTGGTGCATGCCGGTTTAATAACTGCAGCAAACATACGCCACCGTTAGCATCGTTAGCACAACTGGGCGTCTTGCTCGTAGGCTAACCTGAGGCTAATTGTTTTGCTGGGTAATTAGCTGGCTAACGAGCTAAGCTAACATGCCAGAATCCATTATGCCAGGCTCCAGGCTGTAACTCTGTATCTTTAAAGAAACAAAGAAGAAGAAGAATCCAGTTAGTATAAAAATCATGACTCACTGTTGTCCAGTGTCTCCAGCAGCGCCCCCTGCTGGCCTCCCAGCACCGCTGCCCTGAAGCAAGGCAGCAGGCAGACGTCTGTCTGACTCATCAGGGCATCAAACACTCTCCTCCTCCCCACCAGGAACAGTAACTCCTCCCTCCACTGCAGCTCTGCATTCTGCTGGGTGAGTGACAGCACCTCCTTCAACGACAGCCTCCACGCCTCCCTCCACCTCCGCGGGCAGCCGCCTCCCCCCAGCAGCCAGCCGACGCCTCCGTCCAGACCCACAGCACCTCCTCTGGGGTGGAGCACCGGGAAGAGACGAGCCTCCAGGAGGGAGTGCCGTTCTCCTCTGACCCACAACTCCTCCGGCCTGAGAGGAGAAAGGAGGAGAGGAGAGGAGGCACCAGTGAACTGAACATCAGCTGTTCTGCTCCTCATCCTTCAACATTTCAAAATAAAAGTCTTACTGTATTCCTGTCCTGCTGTAGAAGAGACTCCATCTCTGGTTGAGGAAGGAGGCATTACTGTCATCAGAGGAGACCTGAGGAGGAGGAGGAGGAGGAGGAGGAGGAAGAACAGATTGATTTACATCACATCTTCATGTCTCAGTCCTGTGGTCTCTGTCTTTAGAAGGTGATGATGCTCTTCGATATGAGACTCTGAAATGTATTGAATTTCCTTTTGAAGAAGAGGAGCCATTAGTCAAGTGCAGCTGGTTTAACAGACGTGTCGCACCTCCAGATAAATTCTCCTCTCATGTCATTAACCATCTCATGAACTTTCAGGCTCATGTTTGAGTTCATGCTTCATTCAAACAGACATTTTGTTGAACGTTTGTTTTATTGAACTTTATTTCTTCATCACATCAGAAGTAACGGAGAGAAGTGAAAGTGTTTTTACCTCCAGGTCGTCCTGCGCTCCCATCACTGTGTAGACGTTCAGCTTCAACTCCCCCAGCTCGATGCGATGTCCCTGGATGATGATGTCATCGGCCAGTTTCAGCTGCCGGATGCTCTGTGATGTTGGCGACTCGAGACCCGACAGTAAACAACCTGAGGGGACGACCAGAGGCCCCTGGTGAAGAGGACAGAGGTCAGAGGTCACGACGCTGGTTAGATCAAAAAACCTTAAAGTTGCATGAAGTGATGCTGGGAAACTCCTCACCTGTAGGTGGCAGTGCTGCACTACTGCTCCGGTCGCCACGGCAACATCTCCCTCCATGACACTGTTGATCACCAGAGCTCCTTTACTCACCTCACTCTCTCTCTGACGGGAAACAGGAAGTTGGGCGGCGTTAGTGAAAGTCACAGAGGACCTGATTGAGGACATTTCTAATGAGGATGCTGAGGAACAGGAAGTCACCTGGATGTGAGAGAGAGTGTTTCTGTCCGTCCGGACACAGGTGAGTCGGTCCACATGCTGCTTCCCAGAAAGAGTCAGGTAGTCATAGTGACCGCCGGGGACGTACTCTGTGCGGACGAGAGGCAAGGACAGACATGGAGTACTGAAACCAGCTGATGCTAGACTGAAAACAGATGACACTAGACTGATACTAGGCTGACACCAGCTGACACTAGACTGAAACCAGATGACACAAGACTGGACCCAGCTGACACTAGACTGAAATCAGCTAACCCTAGACTGAAACCAGATGACACAAGACTGACACTAGACTGACATCAGCTGAAACTAGACTGAAACCAGATGACACAAGACTGGAACCAGCTGACACTAGACTGAAATCAGCTGACACTAGACTGAAATCAGCTGACACTAAACTGAAATCAGCTGATGCTAGACTGATACTAGACTGAAATCAGCTGACACTAAACTGAAACCAGATGACACTAGACTGAAACTAGACTGAAACCAGATGACACAAGACTGGACCCAGCTGACACTAGACTGACACCAGCGGACACTAGACTGATACTAGACTGCAATCAGCTGACACTAAACTGAAATCAGCTGATGCTAGACTGATACTAGGCTGACACAAGACTGGAACCAGCTGACACTAGACTGAACTCAGCTGACACTAGACTGAAACCAGATGACGCTAGACTGATACTAGACTGAATCCAGCTGACCCTAGACTGAAACCAGATGACACAAGACTGGACCCAGCTGACACTAGACTGACACCAGCTGACACTAGCCTGATACTAGACTGAAATCAGCTGACACTAAACTGAAACCAGCTGATGCTAGACTGATACTAGACTGACACAAGACTGGAACCAGCTGACACTAAACTGAAACCAGATGACACTAGACTGATACTAGACTGAAACCAGCTGACACTAGACTGAAACCAGATGACAAGACTGGAACCAGCTGACACTAGACTGAAACCAGCTGACGCTAGACTGAAACCAGATGACACAAAACTGACACTAGACTGACATCAGCTGAAACTAGACGGAAACCAGATGACACAAGACTGGACCCAGCTGACGCTAGACTGAAACCAGATGACACAAAACTGACACTAGACTGAAACCAGCTGACACTAGACTGAAACCAGATGACACAAGACTGGACCCAGCTGACACTAGACTGATACTAGACTGAAATCAGCTGACACTAGACTGACATCAGCTGAATAAAGTCAGTTTGTGGTCGAGTTAATAAAGAAAAGACGGACTCTTCACGAATCAAGCACAGATTTTGTTCATCCAGAGACTCCATCATATCACTGCCAACAGAGCCACCACTGTCCACAAGGGGGCACTGTTTTTGTACAGCATTAGAGCCTCATAGGAATCAATGGAGTCCCAGTTTACCCACATGTAATAGAGGACAGACACCCACCCACTCTGAGTGGAGTCCCTCTGAGGATCCTCCACAGCTCCGTCCTGCCCCCCCTCACTGTGGCCCCCTGTGGTCCAACAGCTGAACTGCAGCCGACTCTCTCCTCACTCACAAACTGATCCTGAGTCAGATCTGAGCAGAGACACTTCAACACGTCCAGGAAGAGCGAGATCTGAGGAACGACAGCAACAACAATCTTCTAAACAAGAACCATTTGATATTTTAATAAAATCCTCTGGTTCTATAAAAAACATGTTTTATGTCACTAAAAGTTTTTATTCTTATACTGCAATGAAAATAAAGGACACCAATGTCTGCCTGGACATCAGGATAACACACAAACTCTATGTGTACCTACACACAGGGATTTTCAGGAAATGACGATAGGAACATAATTAAAATGTGTTTGTTGCTCATCTCCCTGAATATAATATCATTCATGATACAGACTCAACAATAACAATCGACCTTGAAGAGAAAATGAAGAAAGTTGTTTTTGGTTCAGACCTATAGACTCAATACTTTTAACTGATACTGAATCTGAAAACAGCTGAAATTAAAGCGATCGAATCAGGGAATTGGGATGAATATGTGATCAGAGAGAAAGAGGGCAGACTGATAGAGACAGGCACCTGCAGGGGCGGAGCTCCAGAGTCCAGGCCCAGGTAGGTGCAGCCGTCCAGAGGAGGAGAGACGTGAGTCTGCAACAACTTCTCTGATACAGACCTGCTGAAGAAGACCGGACCTGACACCTGCAGACACACAGATCACATCTGGATTGAGTCAGTTCATTTTAACACACATAAGTCACATTTAAATGTCAACACAGCGTAAAGATCAGATTTCAATTAAGATTTCAACATTTTCAAAATAACACAAACATATCAAATCTGTTTTAAAGACTTCAAAGGTTCTAAAATTACTTGTGGTGTTATTGAGCCATAAAGATACTTTCACATTACAGTGGTGAAGTTTGAAGAGCTTCCTGTTGGGACTTCTACCACTGGAGGTGAATAAAATCACATTCGAAACTTACAAAACAGTGATGTCGTGGTCCTGACTGTGATTTTGAGTGAACTGGGCCTTTAAGAGAATGAAAATGTCTTCAGGACCAAAAGGTATGTTTGATTTTACTGCTCACCAGAGGCACGTTCCCATCAGGCATCACAGCTTGTTGAATCTGCTCCTTTGTCCCTTTGTAGATGATGTCTCTGACCTGACCCTGGGAGACAAAACAAACGCACCTTCAGTCCCACTCGGGTCAAAGATATAAAACCAAAATCCATGACATAAGTTTAAATATAGTCAGCACCTGTTGGTCCAACAGGTAGACTCCGTGACTGGCTGCATAGGAGACATCACCTGGTAACGCCAGAACACGAACACCAGAGAAACCCTTCCAGGAAAGAGCTAACACACACACACACACACACACACACACACACACACACACACACACACACACACACACACACATTACTAATAATCACAGTTTGTTTTGTGGCCACAGAGAGAACTGGATTCTGGGACGGGCGGACGGCACATGAATCCTCCAACAAGGAGCAGCATGACTGATTAAAGATGTGAGTGAAACAACAATTCAAGTTAATTTTATTTGTTAAGCCCAAAACCACAAATTTACCTTGAAGGTTTTACAATGTTCAACACCCACCAAAGAAAAACTTCAAAATAAAACTTTAAGAAATAATGGAAGAAATATTTTTACTGCCCACAGAATAAATAAGATAGATAGATAGATAGATAGATAGATAGATAGATAGATAGAAAGAGATAGATAGATAGACAGAGAAGTGTCCAGTAGCTCATTATTAAAAATAAAGTAAAAAATACATAACTCAATAATAATAAATAAATAAATAATAAAAGTTAATAGTAAACTGTCTGTAGTTCCAGTCTGTAGTAGTCCAGCTGTATGCAGTGATTCAGTCAGAGTATTATAAGTGTTAATCTGTGCAGTAACAGTTAGTTAGTTAGTTAGTTAGTTAATACTAACCAAAGTCTGGAGGGATGGTGAGGATCATGTCGGTGCTGCAGACCCAGACACCAGGAGGAGAACCGGGACAGACCTGAGTCAAAAACACAAAACCAACAGTAAACTGACGTGGCCCCAACAAACAGGCCTGTGCTGCAGTTCTGACTTGTGTAATATAACGTAAGATGTGCAGCTCTCTGTGTAAGAAGTGATGAAGACTAAGCAGACCTGGGTACTGAGGCAGTCCAGCAGCAGGTCCAGACAGCAGACCGGAGCCTGGACTCTCTGGTCCGGTCTCTCTGGAGGCAGCCAGCAGAACGCTCTGCTGCAGGAGCTCCAGGGAAAGTCCCGCCCCTGCAGCAACAACAAACAGCTGTGAGCACCAGGAAGTACAAACAAAAACATCTGTAGAACAAAACATACAACAGCTGGACTCACTGTGTGGAGGATGAGGATGTGAGCATCATCCAGGACGTCGGCTGTCACCACCTGAAGATACAGAAAAGGAAACTTACGTTCTTTGAACCATCACGTATAGATGTGAACTTCAGGTGGTCTGATTATTGATTATTGATAAGACACGAGTTTAAACTCCCGAAGATCAAATTCTTTATTTATCTACATCTCAGACACATAAGGATAATGAGAAAATGTCTCTTACAGGATTACAATCAGGAGACGTGGTTAGAAAAGTAATTAAATCTCATATTTCTGTCCATGAACCCAAACAACTCTTTACCAAAGAGAGAGACTGAGGCAACTTTAAACACCTGGATAAGCACATTTAGAGACTAATTCTATCTTTTGGAAGAAGTTTAAATGGAAACTAATTAATAATTATTAAATTATAATAAAATAAAACTGACAACAAGGTACTTCCGGACACTACAAATAACAGCACACTTCATTTTCCATTTTTTCCACAGAATATTTGTCTGTTTTCAAAAACTTTCAAGACCTTGATTTTCTTTTCTCAAATTCACAACCTTTCATTGTCAGATGTAATTAAGATTATTGTTATTTTATTGAGATTAGCAGAGAAAAGTTTTATTTTTCACTTTTCCAGATTAATCGTTTTAAACGGTTCTAATATCACAGATCAAACCAGATTAATCAGTCTAACCAGTACAGCCCAGTCTAACCAGTGTCACTCACAGTGTGTCCGGCTCTGTTGCTCAGGTGTTCAGCAGCGACCAGTAGAGCGTTCAGCGTCGCCCCCCCACTGCCCAGCGGCTCCTGGCGGTCCCGCACTGTCAAAACCAACGCACCCTCCCACAGAGAGCCACGCTGCTGCCGCAACTCCAGCTCTGACACACACACACACACACACACACAAATTTCATTCAAACAGTTTTATGCTTTTTGGATGATCTTAATGTCAATTAAATATTATTTTAAATAATAATAATAACATTTTTATGCTCACGAGCTTTTTGGCCTGTCCCTCTGTGTGATTGTTCTAATTCAGCAGGACTTTTAATTTGTAAAATGTATGAAAACTGTTAAGGTTTCTTTTTTTTCTTTTTTTACAGTGAACTAAATGTTGTTAAAATGTTTGATTTGACACCTGGATCATTCATAAGGAAAACTGTTGGTGAATTTATTGCAAAAAAAAATACATTTCCTTGTCAGAAATGTCAGCCATCTTGGAAATTGTGGCCACCTTGATTATTTTAGTGGCTAACTTGTTTTGCCTAAATAATTCTACTCCAGGAGGATTTGTCCCCAGTTTAGTGCTTGTACCCATATTCGACAGTCTCCCCTGATATATGCGGTTATCTGCTGTGGTATAATAGTGAAACCGCTCTCCGTCCATCGGCGCCACCTTCAGGCCGCTCGGCGTAACTGCAGAGGACGAAGATCGTAGAATGAGCAGATGATCCTCACCTCTCTGGAAGGAGTAGACGCTGTCTTTGTGCTGGCAGGTCAGGACCACCACCGTCCACCTGAACCCGCCGCTGCTGCTGCCCGACATCTTCTCTCCCGACGGCTCACTGCTGGATAAAACGTGCTAACGTCATACTGAACACTGCAGTTACACTCGGGGGCTGTTTGAACGTTAGCAAGAATAACTACGACGAGACGGATCCCCGCCGACAACAGACACACACAGGAGGCAGCGCGGAGGTAAACCTAACGGACCCCTGTCAGTTTAACCTGCTGTCCGACGATAAATGACCCGTAATGTAAAACTTCATATGGAGAGGAAATAAATAAAGACGTTGTTGCCCGTTTCCTGTTTGTTCGACCGTTTAGCTTAGTTATGACCGCGCGGGATGCCGTAGGCTGAAACCCGTTGCGTTTCATTCCTACCTTTGGACCTCTCGACGAGGCGGTTAGTTAACCGTCAAATAACACTGTTGTTGAGCGGCAGTGAAAATATTTCTGAAGAGTTTCTGTAACTGTTGATTAAAGTCAAACGACTGAAACCGAACGTTAAATATCACAGAGGAGAGTTTTAGTTTTACCTTAATAATGTACAGCTAATGAGTTAAATAAAGCTGTGTGATTTCTGTACCGGAACGTCCCGGGGAGGCGGAGCCTGGATCTAAACAGGAGTACTCAGATAGAAGTTACGATGTCACAGTGTAGAAATACTTACAACTTACACTTAATATGATAAATGAATGAATGATAAAAATGTCGCCGTTTTTCACCATTTACGTCACCATGGTAACTTGAACCGCTAAGAAAAGTCATAGTGCACCATTCCCGATTTAGCCGCACGTGTTGATGTATACTGTCAGGGTTTTCTCAAAGCTGCGGGACTAGCTACCGGCCGACATTCTGTACGGAAGAAGAATACCAATAAGAACAAGTATGTAGGATTGTAATATAATAACAACTGGAGGATAGAGGACAGGAAGGAGAGAGAGGCACACAGCCTGGCGCTCGTGTGCATGAGAGATTTTTATGAAAAGCTTTCTTATAGTATTTCTGATTATTTTTAATCCACTCGTTTTTACATTTTATTCATCTTTTGTTCCATATTCCTGCCTGTTTATTCAGAAAACACTGTTTTATTGTTTTCTTTTGTAAAGCTGGTTTTCATAAGTGCCATACAAGCAAACTTTATTATGGTTACCTGCCCTATAGTGTGTTTATCTACACCTGTAGTGCATACACGTATTCATATCCAGCTGTTTAATCAGTATATAATGTCTTATACCAGCACTTTTCCCTCTTACACTCACACTACATATTCACACTTGTACCAGCAACTGCCGCCTGTAGCTGCTGCACATGCTGTATTTCATAGTGTATTCATATATAACCCTCACTGTTATTTATATATCTGTACATATGCACATTACTCTGCACTTTACTACTGTTTGCAGTTAGAGAACAATTTGTACTTTTTCTAATGTACCGCAATGACAATAAAGTTGAATGTAAATCTAAAAGTGATCTAAAATAAAAAAAATAAAGCACAGTTCATATCTGATCCTTGCAGATTTTATTATTACTAAACTTCAGCTGTTGAAAAATGTTTCCAAGAAGGCAGTGGGGTGAATTATATCTGAGGAAGAATGGACAACAATATGGGGGCACCTATGGAAGTGTACCAGCTCACAGAAATGGAGGGAGTTTGGCTGGAAGACCCGGTAAAGTTTTTTATTTCACTCTTCACTTCTGAGAAATCCCGCTGTGATAATAATCTTCCTCTTTGCTGGAGAAAGTGTAAATTAATTGCAAACTATAACAATATTTTCTGGGACAGTCCTTCATCAGAGACTACAGGAAAAAGAAACACAAAACATTTTAAACATTAAACAACATCTTTTATTCTTTTCTATATATGGAAACTTTGTTAAAAGAAATCTGAGATCTGATATACAAACAGTATATTTAGAGAGAGATCAGCACTTTTTCCCTCTTTACACTCACACTACATAATTCACACTTGTACCAGCAACTGCCGCTGTAGCTGCTGCACATGCTGTATTTCATAGTGTATTCATATATAACCCTCACTGTTTATTTATATATCTGTATTAATCACATTACTCTGCACTTTAACTATGTTTGCAGTTACGAGAACAATTTGTACTTTTTCTAATGTACCGCAATGACAATAAAGTTTGAATGTAAATCTAAAAGTGATCTAAAATAAAAATAAAAGCACAGTTCAATATTGATCCTTGCAGATTTTATTATTATAAACTTCAGCTGTTGAAAAATGTTTCCAAGAAGGCAGTGGGCTGAATTATATCTGAGGAAGAATGGACAAACAATATGGGGGCACCTATGGAAGTTGTACCAGCTCACAGAAATTGGAGGAAGTTTGGCTGGAAGACCCGGTAAAGTTTTTTATTTCACTCTTCACTTCTGAGAAATCCCGCTGTGATAATAATCTTCCTCTTTGCTGGAGAAAGTGTAAATTAATTTGCAACTATAACAATATTTTTCTTGGGACAGTCCTTC